ATGTATCTATATATAAAATATATACGTATATATAATGTATTTAAGTATACAATATATATATTTAAATCTTCTGATTCATTTTTTTTTTTTGTCTATTTCCAATGTCTGTTCCACCATCATCTAATTTGTGCCCCTGTTAATTAATTCCTTCCCTGCTTTAAGCTCATGCTATAAAGTCCGGCTCAGGTATCACGTTCTTTATGAAGCCTCGCAGATGACAGTCCCCGCCCACCCCCACCCAGTGATAGCACAAAACAATGTATCGTGATATCGTGATTGTTTCCTTGTATTCTCGATGACTGTGGACACTATGTCGCTGCCCATGTCCTAAGCACAGAGCCTGGAACACTAAATCTTTGTGGGATGAATCAGCCCTCTTAATAAATGTCTGCCCGCTTCATAAGCCATTTTTTTTCCATACAATTGTTTCGACTTATAGTCTTTATTACAGAAAAATAGTCCTAGAGCTCTCAAAGCTTGAAAACTATTTAGGAGTTATTTTTGCGTAATACACTTAAACATTCAATTTTTAAGGATATGAATTTCAGCGTGATCATGATTTACACCCTTTAATTGAATTTAAACCCAGTCTCAAGGGTGTTACACATTTGAAATTGGTGGCGAATTTTTAAAATAACATCTGACTGTAATCTAAGCCATCAGCAAAGGAAACGTGTCCTCAGAAGAAGTGCCCTGTCATGTCGTTGCTCTCGACAGGGGACCGTGGCCGCCGGCCTGTCCACCTGCTTCCTCTTCTGGATCTCTTACCTCAGGTTCAGGGTCTCAGAATTCCTCCCTCCGCATCTCGCCAGCTCTGTTTCATGTCCCTGCTTTCCATCTGATATCATGGCATTGTGTAAACACAACACAATCCATCACTGTCAGAAAACCCTTGTAAAACACAAATTTGGTCCTCGCCCATATCCGCATTAACCCCCTCAGCGTCCCCACATCGCACTCAGGATAAATTTTCCAACTGCTTACCATGGAAAATGTATTTATTTATCTTTTCTTTATTATTTATTTTCGATTGGTCTCTACTTATTTATGTCTCATTTATTTGGTTAACTTTGGCCCCTACTTATTTTCTTTCTGTCTGTCCGTCTGTCTGTCTATCATCGGTCATCTCTCTACGGATCTCTTTACCTGTCTATCATTTGTCCCCATTTCTTAAAGCTCTATTGCTTGCCACTGCCCGTGTCCGTGCATCCCTCGTTCTCTCTTGCCTCCGAGCCTGCCAGGTTGCTCTTCCTTCTGCGTGGATACCTGACTCAGACTTGTCCCAGCCCGTAGTGCATGCATACGTCCGTGTGGTCGTTAGATTAACACCTCTCCCACCGAAGGGTGAGCTCCACGGAGGCAGAAATCACGTCCGGCTAACTGTGGTGTGGCATGTCACAGGCATGCTGTCGATATTCTCGCATAATAAATTAACGGGTATATCTTACCCCACTCGGTGTCCCCAGCATCTAACACAGTGCTTGGCACATCGTAAAGTACCCAGTACTCACGAATAAACGTGAGTGATCATTTCTAAACTCATAATTATTGCTCTTCTTTCTTTTCTCTTCGAATATGGGATATTATTTTTTGTTTAGAAGGTTTTCACGTGAAATTTCTCACTTGACCCTCTTGCCCTGCAGAAAAAGTGTTTCTGTAAAGTAGCAGCTCCCTGTTGCTTTATTTTGAGTCTTTATTTGAATACTAACCAGCAGTGCAGTTAAATTACCATGTTGCGCTATTTGAAGTAAACAAACTACAAAAGAAACTGCCCCCAGGCTGCCAGTTTTAAAATGGTGCCATGTGAAATACTTGTATCTTTGTGCTGTCCAAACAGGAATATTATTACAGCAATGTGCTTTTATTTATTTATTTATTTTTGTAGTTACAGAAAGAATTGGTTACTTAGTTATTGTTATCTGTGCAAAATAATTTCACAGAGCTATGCAAAAGCACATATTTAGTGAAATGACCAGAGCTGAAAGGTGCTTAAAGAGGACAGACGAGGAAGTACCAGTGTATTAGGAGATGGAGAAGGAGACATAGGAGAATCTAGCATTCAGGTCTCAGTGCTTTAAAATATCAGAACTGAGTTTGAAATGAGATCTGTTCCACAGCAATCGATGAGACATACTTGCTGAACTAAATTAAATGGAAGTACCACAGTGGAACGTGTTTCCATTACCATCTGCTGAAACGTTAACCACCGTTTAGAAAAAAGAAAAATTGTTATGAGTAGATAAATGATCATATTCACTGTCTTTTAATCTTCTCTAACTAAAAGAGAACTTGAAGCCCCCACATTTTCTAAGTTTTGGAAGCTCGGAGCCGAAGAGGTTAAATAAATTGCCAGTCATTGAGCCAGCCACTTGCAGAGCCACAATTAAAATCTAGGTTTTCTGATGTTCAATACAATGTTCTCTTGTTTTCATTATAAGGTTTGTACAGATGAATGAAGTTGGTTCTATAAAGGTACATGAAGCTCAAGTGGATACCTTAGAAAACGGCTTGAGAGGCTGGAAAGTGTTCTCGGGGGGATACGGAATTATGTTACTACATGGGCACTGGCACCGTGTCACTGGCTGCCATGTCTTTTATTTTGTGAGATAAAAGGGAATAGGAAGACTCCTACACCTGGACTAACTGTACCTTCGTCCCCAGCATTACAAAAGAACCGCCAATGCTAGCCCGTGAGGTGGACGTGTTGCTGTCTATAGCCAATTCTTTCAGCCATTTTTCCCCTGTGCAACTGACGGCACCATGCCCCCGCCTCCACACACACAAC